GTTGGAAATCAGTGGGAAGTTTGGTCTCTATATGGGTAAATAAGCACTGAAGAGGTAGCCGGATATGTTTTGTGCTTACAACTGGGTAGTGTATTTACATAGAAACCCTACGGAAGACCCAGAAAATCCCGGGAGAAGCCTGGACTGATGCAAAATTCTAGAGAGTTACTTTCTGCTCAACCTAAATATGTGCCTATAACTTTTGGGATGTTTACAAGCATAATAAATGATGGAGTTCAACTTCTAAATTCCTTCCCATTCAGGCGAGTAGTGACGAGAGCAGTACGGTAAGTGACGCCGAGCGATCGCCGCCGCCACCGGCTAGGACGTCGACAAGCCACGGAGCCGTCATAGGAACTCTGGAAAAGGCCATGTGAGATTCCTTATCAGATTTTCAAAATGGCGGGACCTTCAGACGTTCGGCCAAGTCATTCATAAGGTTTTCTCTGTAATCTCCAGAGGTTCACTTATTTGTGAAACCACACTAGGGCTTAGTTAAGTCAGTCAGTCACCACCACCTTTAAAGGCAGTCAGTGTGCCCCATAAGATGGTGGTTCATTCTATAATCCTGATTTCTGGTGATTTTTGCAGTTGTATAGCTGTCTCAGTATTAGCCGGTGTATGCTACGGTTTGAATTTCATGCCGGTAATCTATATGATTGATAATCGTGACAAATATCCCGACTACCCAGTAGACGGCCTTTCCTACGTGTTTTCGCACTTCTTTGGAATCTTTCTCAGTGCCACAGCAATATTCCTTGGCTACACTATATTCAGGTAACCATCGTCAAGGGCATTGGTTACTTCTGAAGCTTCTAATACCCTTCCAACACATTTTTTTTCGCAATTTCAGAAAAGGCGAACCGTTCATGACTCCTCAACTGATCTTGCCGTCATTTTTCGCTGGGTTACTTTGGGCAACAGCTGAGACGGCATTTTTCATTGCCAATCAGCACTTATCTCAAGCAATATCATTCCCTATCATTACTGGACTGCCAGGATGTGTAGCATCGTTGTGGAGTGTATTGTATTTTCAAGAAATCAAGGTTAGTTCGTTTTGTTCCGAGTATCCAACGATTATACCACTTAAACGGCCTCGAATAAAGGCATTGTTCTTGAGCGCACTGAGCCTTCAGTGTTCCTTCCACCTCTCCCAGATTACCATTACTCTACGTCTCTAATTTAATGAATAAAAAGAATAAATATATATTAAATTGTGGGCGGCCTTTTAAGGAAATGGTACCCTACATACGTAGCCAAGGTACCATGAAATCGTGTGAAATTATGAGCTTTATGTTTTCGAGTTTTTGAACCTGCACCTTTTAGGGTAAACGGAATCTAATGAATTTTGTTGCTGCTTTGACGCTTTCCATTGTTGGAGCTGTTTTGGTTGGTCTGTCGAAGGAAGTTCATCTCTAGTCGGGCTCAGCCACCTCAAGACAGAAATGAACATCTGTTCTTCATTGTGCTTCACCCAGCTCAGTTTTCGATAGTAGCGTTGAAGTTCTGTGTAACCAAAAAACTTTTAAATAGAACCAACTACATAAGTGAAAAAGAATGCTGTTGTTGTTTACAAGTTAATTCCAAGTGGTAGTATATTTTCGTTGTACGGGTATTGATAAGGAAAGAAAGCGGGTTAATTGTTGATATGTTTGTTAATAGTCCTTGCCATTTACCTTTTCCATATGAATATGAATAGTATTAGAGAAAATGTTAATGACCTTACAGAAAAGTATTTAACTTGCGAATTGCAGAAACTCGTAAATCTGCTCTGATCGTTTAGTCGATTTCTATAATCTACGTGTGATCAATGAATAAATATTAAAGGCACAGTTCACGATAATTTTGTGTAATCCAGATTATGATAAAAAATTGAAAACAAGATCGAAACTAGTGCGACTGAGGTGAAGAAACTGCGTGCATCGGTGTTTCCAAAGTGAAAAGATTCCTCGAAAAACCGTTAAAAAGGGGGCTGGACGTGAATGAAACCAGCAAAATGAAGAAGGGTGGGGCGTCGGGACGAGCTAAATAGTGTGTTTCACTGCGCGCATGTGG